GTCCCAGCTACTTGGAAGGCAGAGGCAGGAGACTCGCTTGAGCCCAGGAGTTGTAGGTTGCTGTGAGCTGTGATGCCACAGCACTCTACCCAGGGGAACAGCTTGAGGTTCTGTCTCAAAAAAAAAAGAAGAAGAAGAATTACATCACTGTTGATGGTTTCAAGGGTGAGAAACCCTGGTCTCAAGAATAGGAAGTGTTGGGGCTAGAGAAAGTGTTCTTGGGTCTTGCTTTGTCCAATTCTTTCCTGGCACAGATGACAAGGTCCAGAGATGAACCTTGGCCCAGCTCCCGCAGGAGTCTGGGGCAGGCGTTCCCGGGCCACATTCTCTTCCCACCAACACACAGGACCTGACCCAGTCACACAGCTGAGCCTCAGCAAAGCCTGGAACAGTGTAGGGGTGGGGTGGGGGTGGGGTGCATGCCTCTGTTCAAGGTGGCAGGGTGAGGCCTGGACCATCTGTGAGCCTCAGTTTCCCTGCCTCTGTGGTGGTACATTGTAGAGAACCATAGGAGCTTGATACATGTGCCCCATGAGCACCATCTAAGGGTCCCCATCCCCAACTCAGAGCTGCTGAATCAGGCTGTGGTCTGGCCTCCTCTTTAATCTTGGACTGTAGGATATACACAGATGGTGAGTGAGTGACAGGGGCAGAGGCCTGTGTCAGGACAGGATGGGGAGGTGGGATAGGACACAAGGAGTTCAGGGAGGGGGTCAAGTGCAAGGCTCGGCCACCATGGCTGTCCATCTGCCAGGCTGGCCCCCACTTCTTCCAATCCCAGGTGGACTCCACAGCCGGGGCTCCAGATACTGCCAGAGTGCTTGGTCCCCTGGCCACATCCAGCCTGGGGACAGGACTGACCAGTGGCCAGATCCCTGCTCTGGGCAGAGCAGTCTCTTCAGTAGCCTGCGGCCTCCCCACGCTTCCTCATGTCCGACACAGCATACACGCAGGCCCCCTCCTGGGACACGGCCTGCACCACATTCAGGAAGTAGAGCCTCTGGTTCTTCCTCTGGCCGCGCTCCTGGAGCCCCCTCTGTACCTCCTGTAGATGAGAGAGGCAGGTTCACAGTGGGGAGGGGCCAGACAGGAATGGAGGAAACCTGCCAGAAGGCGGGGCTGGGCAGGGGGTGGGGTCTGAGAATGCAGGGCAGGAGCCCTCTGGCTCAACTGCAGGGAGAGAACAAAGGTCTTAGAGGAGAGGCCTCCAGTGGACGTGCAGGCAGGACATCCCTCAGGCCAAAAGGCTGTCTAGGATGCAAGTTCACTTCCATCCTGGGTCTGTGCACACCAGGTCCAGACAACTCTGAGTTCTGGGGGCTTCCATGGAGCAGGTAGCTTCTGAAGACTTAGACTGAGAGCCCTCCCAATTTTGAGGACCTTGAAAGCAAGGCCTTCTAGAAGGCTGGCATTGGGGCCTTTGTAGTCCTGAGTCATTCATTCATCAAGAACTGCCCATCTCAAGACTCCTCTCCCTGCTTGGGGTCTCCTTGCCCGGCAACTCCGGGATCTTGAGGACAAATTTCTGGGTGCTGGGTATCCAGGCCAGCCAACTAGAGCCCAACCCCTCAGAAGTTTAGGGCTGAATTTCAGAGGAATCAGCTGGAGAAGGACCCCAAGCTCCAGATTCCATTCACTCTGAATATCCACAAATGCAAGGAAATTCGACCTCCAGGCTGAAGGCAGCAGAATTCCCAGAGTGTGAGATGCTTGGCACATGAGGCTTGCAGGCTCAGCCCTGAGACCCTCAATCTGTGGACTTTGAGGCAGTTAGAGACCAAGACAGGTCCTTAACCCTGCTGCATTGGTTTCTAACGCACTAAGTACCTTGCCCCGGGGTTATAGCCCCCATACTACCACTCCCTAGGGTAAAAAGCCTGGAGTGTAGGATCTGTGCTTTATCTCTGGGGGCCATTTTGGACTAAGCAGCTGAGAACCTCGCCCTTCAGAGCCTGAGATTCCAGAGACCTCTAGGTACTAAGACCTTGGTGCTCTGCTATCCCTGGGACCAGGACCTGTGCCCTGAGGTCATCAGGTGATGCCACATGACCTGAGCTGTTTCGGGGCGAGGTCTTTGGAGACTGCCCTCTTGGTTATAAGTTCCTCTGTCCCTGACATACTAATTCCACATGTCCTTAGACTTGAAAGCCCAGATCCTCACTGCTGAAGCCAAAGTTGGACTTTGGTCCTCGGAGACTGCATTCCTTAGAGTGTCAGGGCCAGAGTCCAAGCAAGACCTTGAGGATTAAAGACCCTCCCTGCCCCAGTCCCTGGACTTTAGTTTCGAAGGCCCTTAGAGACACAAGACATCAGGATTTTCTCTGTGGAAAGCCCTAGACCTACATAGCTGACACTCCAAATCCCCAAGGGAGCTGAGGACCTTCGGATTCCATTAATTCCAGTCCCTAGAATATCATTTCCCAAATTCAGAGTCTAAATAAGGTCCTCAGACTGCCAGGTCCTGAGATTGATGTTTGCTAAGTAAGGACTTTCACACAAGGGTCAAGGAGGACGGGTTTAAGATTATGTGCCCTGGATACTAAGATTCTAAAGATCTAAGATCCCTGGAACCTGAGGTCCCTGAAAAGGTCATCCAGCTGCTGGGTAACCCTAAAAACGGACAGCGGGCCTTATACTAAGACTGAGGTTCTCAGGGACTACCCCCCATCTTTGGGTAAAGGCCCCCAGTCTCATCCTGGTCTACGGTCCTCAGAGATCTATTCTTTTCTTTTTTTCTTTTTTTTGCAGGTTTTGGCCAGGGCTGGGTTTGAACCTGCCACCTCTGGCATATGGGGCCAGCACCCTACTCCTTTGAGCCACAGGCGCCACCCTTTTTTTTTTAGAAAGAGTCTCATGTCACCCTTGGCAGAGTGCCGTGGTGTCACAGCTCATAGCAACCTCAAACTCTTGGCCTCAAGCAATTCTC